CAGCTTGAAGCCTTGGCTCTCTAGAATCACGGTGGGGAATGGCCACTGGTGTCCTGTGTTTCCCCGAAACCAGGGCAGACGGTTTGATGCGCCCGAGACCTGCCCCAGCAGAAAATTCAGCCACATCAGAACTGCATCCGCATTTCACTCGGTGCTAATTTTTGGCTCCATCATCTTCCCTCTGCTTGCAAAATCGGTGCCTTTTCCATGTCTGCCAGGAGAGCTTCCAGCCGTTAATGGTCTCACAAATCCCTTCATGGCATGTGCGCAGCTCCTGCCCCTTCCCTTTTCATTAATTCACCTTTGGTTCCTTTCCTTTTTAAATGACCATCGGGTACTAAAAACCTTCTTTTCTCCATAGCCAAAAAAAAAAAAAAAGGAGTTTCACCAGGGTGGTGGCGAAATAGTGTTCTCCCGTCCCTCCTGCCGAGATGCCCGTGGGTTAGGGAACAAGTGGGACTCAGCCTTGAGGATAACGGGAATGGGAAGGGGGGTACCGTGGCAGTGCATCGGAGGAAAGAAGGGGCTGGTCCTCCTCCCAGCTCAGTCTTGGGCTTGTAGAAATGCTGTGAAGGAGAGGAAAAATGCTGATTTCAGGGCATGGAGTCTTGCTCTATGTCCTCCAGTTCATCTGGTTTTCCTGGTTCTCCTTCCTCTGGTCTGCCTGGGCAGGAGGAGATGGTCCTGGGCTCTGCCTGCCCAGGGTAGCGAGGATTAACCTCATTTCTGGTTTACACCTTCTAGCAGCGATTGATTTGATCCACATCACTTCTGTGACAGGGCAAATGGAGCTTCATGGGAGCTCTGAAATGATAAAATCCCATCTGGCCCCAAAATAATAGTGGTCGTGTCCCTGGGGAGAGAGAGGGCGGGATGGGGACAGCAGAACTCAGCTGAGCTCCAGCCCTCTGCATGGGGACCCCTCCTTGGCTCGAGCGTGGGTTAGACGTGCAAAATGACCTCAGGAGCAAAGACCAGCAAGAGATGGGTCTGTTAGGTGATTTTTAAATTTTTCTTTCTTTTTTTTTTATTTAAATTTATTGAGGCCAGATCCTCAAATCATTCTTAATTGGATTATTCATCCTTCAAGAGATACCCTTGCTAAAATCTGCAGATAGCAGCTATACAGAAACCTACTCATTTTGCTGGTTTGTGATGTTTCATGGAAAGAGAAGTGTCCTACAATCCCAAAGGGTCAAATTAGACAATGAGAGAAGTGTAGTCCCAGATCTTTGTACGTGCATCCATCCAAGGCTTGACTGGCTCCTGGGAGGAAGGTGGGCTTGGACCTAAGAGCTGGCTGTCATGTCAGTGCTGGCTTCGGTCATCAGACGTGTCTGAGAAGTCCTTGAACATCTCCGCTCTGGTTTCTTTACTGTGGATGTTTTGAATACTTGAAGAACCTTGGAAGAGTTACTGAGGTCTCTGAGGATCTGCACTGCTAAAATCAGGGAGATGTGACTAATTGTCATGGGAGGAGAGAGGAAAAGGCAGAAGGGCCCTTTTTTGGGTCCCCTCGGTGATGTTTGCCTTTCCTAGAATCATCTCCCATGAGGCTGGTCAGTGGCACGTAGACAATGGAAAGATATGGCTGAAAAAAAGGTGGAAGGAAAAAGGAAAGATGTCAAACTTAGAGCAGGCATGAAGGCTTAGCTGGGACAAAAGTGCCTTTCTCCTCCATCAGATACGGGAGGAGCTGGTGCCTGGTGCGGATTATTGAGTCTGGTGTGCTGGGGGGGCATGGAGACTGGCTGTGGGGACCCATAGCCTCTTCCCAGGTGGCCAGAGTGGCTTTCTGCTGGTCACCTTGTTCAAGATGGCAAGTCAGGGGTAGGCTGGTGTATCTGGGTGTCTCAGCACCTCCCGCCTAGCCTGGCTGGGGCAGCACCTGGTCGCAGTGAGCTGGGAGGTTGTGTCCTCCTGGAACAGCTGCTTGTGTGCCAGATGTGAAGATGCAGCCGGGGAATTTGGAGTCCAGAAGAGGACATGTTGGGATTGCCTTTGGAGATCCTTCCCTGCTCTCCTGCAGCCAGGGAGGGCTCTTGCTGCAAAACTCCTGCCGCTGGGGTGAGGTGGGTGCTTGAGCATCAGGTGACACTCAGGTGTACGGAGGGTCCCCTTTCTGCTCTTTGGGAAGGGCAGGATGGTGCCTTCACCGCAGGCAAGGTGTCTCTGGCCACGTTCCCCAGTTCAGGTGGGACCTAAAGGACAGCCCGTGATGGTGCTTTGGGGACTCTGCTGCCTTGGAGCAGCCCGGCGGTTGTGCAGCTCCTTACCCATCGATCCGGAGAACTCAGGTGTGACTATTGCAGCGGGTCACGGCACCTGTAGGTGACAGGATTGGGGACATCACAGGTGCTGAGGTGGTATTAACACATGCTGCTTTGTGCCTTCCCAATGTCAGGAGCGCAGCAGAATCGTCCTCTTCTGAAAAGGAGGTTTCAGTTTAATCACGTCCCCGTCTTTGTGGTTTGAGTGTAATCCCTGTGAAGCCCTCGGTGCTCGGACAGCAGCTTGCCACGTCCACAGACAGACGTGGCAGAGGAGCTGCTGATCCCAGATTCAGTCCTTCCCTTCTGTAGATCGTTTCTGCACGGAGGTCTGGCCCTCAGGTGCTATGTGATGCAGGCACAGCAGCTTACCTACAAGAAACTGATTTCCTTGGGTTTGTCCTTTGTTGTCTTGTTCTCTGTGAGAACCATTTTAATGGGGTGATGATAAAGACCTAATTTCTGAGTTGCTGTAGATTGTGCTCAGCAGTGACCTGGGGAGCGTGGGTGACAGCTGTGTGGTGACACAGCAAGGCTTGCTCAGAGAGGAGTCAGGGCTGTGCCTCTTTCATCCCAAGATGTTTCATCTTGAACGTGTTAAGCTGCATCATAGACTTACGGCCACTCGGATGCACAGTGGTGGATTGGGCGGGCTGTTGGTGAGCAACTAATTCTGCTCTCTCAAGTTCACATTCATCAACCAACGGATGGAAACACGTCTGACTTCTCAGCAGATCCATCAGGACGTCAGACATGGCTGTGAGGCATGAAGCAACCTCTGCTCCCCTGGCAGTACCCAGTGCCGACCGTCCCGGGGCGGGATGCAGGCAGAGCCACCCCTCCTGCTTTCGGAGCCTCTCTGAGCCACACGCCGAGGTGGCAGAGCCTCTGCTCCACTCAGCAGGAGCCCTGCACATGCTGCCCTCCCAGAGAGAAGGAATGGGATAATTTTTATTATTTTTTTAAAATACCTTTTCTAGCTCTGCAGAAATTAACGTGTTCCCACTTGGCAGCGCTGCCTGTGAGCAGCCGTGCAATGGGAAACATCCCTCTGCTTTCAAAACACACCCGGGTTATCCCCCTGGCATCCCCAGGCTGTTGCTAGTGTCCATTCTGTAGAGTGGCCTTGGTAAGTTTGGTCCAACAGAGGTTCCCTTGAGAGGTTTCAAACAGTTGGAGTGTTTGTGACGGGCAGGCAGTGCCCCGCAGCCGGGGTGTCCGTCCCCTGCCCTGCAGCCGTACCCTGGGCTGAGTCTCTGCGCTGGCTCTGGGGGTGCACAAGGTGACGTTGGCGTCTGGGGCTGCTCGTGTTCGGATCTGGCTGCGATGAGCAGTCCTGGCAGCTCCCCTGCTGCTCTCCTTCCCAGCCGCTGTGTTTTGAGGAACGGTAGAAGTTCTGCAGTTGGTAGTAGAGCTGTCCTCCCCAGGTGCTGCAGTGAACCCCGTCGTTTTGGGCTAGGAAGGGGGCTAGCAGTGGGTCAAGCAAGCGAAGTCATTACTTCTGTTTTTAAAGGGCCTGGAGATAAGGAATTTTTCAGGATCAAGCTGCCTGGGAAGCCTTGGCTCTGTCCACGTGCTTGGGCAGCTCTGACAAGGGGTGTTGATCCTTTGGCTTATTGGAGCTGGTCCGTGGCCACCATTGCTGGCCTCTGCTAGCAAATGGATGACGGGGCTTCAGCATGGTTCAAGAGGACTTCTGGACGTGCCCTGTCCTGACTGGTATGTCCTGATCCTCCACCGCTGACAAGGAACAAGGACACCAGCCTTGAGGACTTGGGCCGTGCACCTGATGCCTGATGTGATGCCACCTTCATCCCTCACCCATCTGGTCTGACCTGGAGCAAGGTTGAAAGCCACCTGTTCTGCTTTGGAAGCAGAAATCAAGCACAGTTGAGTGGTTGCAGCTCAAGTTGGACTTGAGAGGTGTCTGTCCCAGCCCAGCAAACTGCTCACACAGTGACTGCAGCGTTATACCTCCTCCCACAGCTTCTCCTGCCAACACCCTGAGGTCCCCATTTGTAAGGACAGACTGTGCTTGGCCGCCTTGCTTGAGAGCTCCTGTGAGCAAGACGATCTGAGAGCTCCTGGGTACATTTTAAGACCTTTTTTCATCCCGAATACGGTGCACAGGTCTGCTGTTCCTTGCAAGAACATCAGGTCACTTCTCTTTCCATCACGCTGAAAAGCAAACGTACTTTCTCTAAGCTCAGAAACAATCTTTTGGGTGAAGAGTGAGGCAAAAAAAAAAAAAAAAAGTAATTGCTCCATAACTGACAAAGAAGGGGCATTCAGACACCTTCTTCCCTTCCCTTTTGGCTAGTGGAGGGGGGCAGATGTGGTGATGTCTTCCAGGCAGGTGGAGTCCAGCTCTTGGGCTGAGGCAGTGCAGGGACTGATGCACCGTGGTGCAGGAGCATCCTTGAACCATCACTGGTGACCCCAGACACTAATCTGGGGGCTTCTGGGCAGCAAAACGCCCCTCTGCACAGCCCCTAATTACACCCGACCTGGGTTAAAATTCCCCCAGCAGTGCCAACGCCTGGCAGTGGGGAGTTTCAACCCACAGCACTCTCGGTGTGGACACAGCAGCATAGGTGTGGGCATGGGGATGTGTTCTGTATCTTGGCCAAACACGTCTTGGGATTCCTTATCCCCTCTCTGGGTGGAAGCAGTGCTGGAGAGCGCTGGGGACTGCCTGCTCTGCTCTCTCGGAGCGGGTGAGTTTCGAGCAGCACAGGCACAGAGGATTTAGCTAGTTAAATTTGATACATGGGTCCCATCCCTGTTAAAAACCATAGTGAGAGCCAGCAGCATCACTCAGCAGCTCAGCAGGGTGTTAACTGTCCAACCTCCTTGTTCTCCGTAGTCCTCACCCGGTGAAACCCATCAGCGCCGTGGTGCAGGAGGTCTCCAGCGAGAAGAAGCAGCAGCACAGGTCCAGCCTGACGACGGCTCTGAGCAATGGCCTGGAGAAGCTGAAGACAGTCACTACGAGCAGCGTCCAGCCTGTGGCCCCGTCCTCTCACCCGGAGAAAATGGACTCGAAGTTAAAGGTAGGAAACTGCTGCTGAGGTGAGAGGTTCCTACTTGCTTGAGATGTTGGATAGTTGGTGGCAGAGGTGCAGAGAACTGGTGCTGGAGGAGGTAGGACAGGGTCCTGCCACAGTGTGAGCAGAACCACGTGTGTTAACCCTGGCATCCTCGCTCCTGGTTGCCCAGCCTCCCGCTGGCCTCTCTTCCTCCGTGACCTGGCCTCTGGACCTTCTCACCCCAGCGCTCTCCCATTGCTGGCTTTGGTTTGGGGTTGTATTGTACAGCGTGCGAGCCAATGCCGGGTTATCCACCAGACATGGGAGGTGGAGGATGTGGGAGCTGCCTGACTGAAGGCCTGAAGGGTTTTTTCTCCTGGCAGAGGCAGAGGGAAGGTGTTCCCTGGAACATTACTCAAATGCTGCTTGCCTGGCTGTGTTTTAGACGCAAGCAAAATAACCTGTGTGATGTATCTGAGGGCACGGTGTCACGAGGGTCCCTTCTCCTTCCCTTTGCTGCTGCTCTCTTTGCCTCCCCAGTTCAACATGTAAAATGCTGCTACTGGGGTTCATCTGGATGGACTCCCCCCGGGCTCTCATCCTCTGGGATCTCCCAAGGGGTCTTTCTGCTCTTGGTTCTCTTCTCCTGCTGTCATCCAGGCCTGCTGCTGGAGGGCTGGGAAGGGGGAAGCCTGGGAGAAGGGGAGTAGCTAATGCCAAACCTCGTTAAGCCAGGCTAGCGGGCTCCGTTGTGCCCGCACCCTCAGCTTTTAACTGCTGGGGGAGAGAGGTTGGACATCGTCTTTGGAGAAAGGCTGGTAAGTGATTCACGCCGCTGGTGGCCGTGTTCCATGGTCACCTCTAGCTGTGTGGTGGAGGCTGCATTGGCCGGGATGTCCGGGCGGTTGTTCTGTCTCCGGTATTTTTGGGTGAGTGCATGGCACGAGGGAAAGCTGCTTTGTAAAGACACAACGTGATGGCTGCACAGTGTCTCAGGCTCATCAGGTCAGGTTTGTAAAGAAGACAGACATAGAAAATGGGATTGCTTTTGTTTGGTGCTGCATCTTGCAAACTCTTCTTTAGGGAGCAGCAGTTTCCATTCACCTCTGAATGTTCCTCTTGGTTTCTACCACAGGATCCCACCGTACTGGACCAGTCAGCCAAGTATTACCACTTGACCCACGATGAACTCATCCAGCTCCTGCTGCAGAGGGAGAAGGAGCTGAGCAAGAAGGAGGAGCACATCCAGGAGCTGGAGAACTACATTGACCAGCTGCTGGTGCGCATCATGGAGCAGTCTCCCACGCTCCTCCAGATCCCGCTGGGGGAAAACAAGACCAAGTAACCTCTCCCCAGAGACCAGCATCACTTGCCTCGAGCTCTTCTCCAATAACCACGCTGCAAACATCCCTGCACTCCCCCCTCCTCTTCCAAGAGGGCTCCAGTGGCTTCTGTTGGCAGAGTTTAGCAGGAAAGGTTCTCTGCTCCTTCCCGGCCCCAGCTTAGCCCAGCTCTGGCTCCAGGGACCTGCAGGGTGGTGGGCTGTCAGCCACCCCGTGGGGAGGAGCAGAGCCCTCCGCAGGAGGCAGATGCCTCTTTAGGTTCCTGTCGTTGTGACCGAGTGGCATCTTCTCAGGCACTCATCCTGCCGATGCTTTAAGTGGACATTTGAGAGCTGGAAACCAACCGCCTCGTCCATGTCTCCACCCTGCTACTGCTCTGCTCTTCTACCCATGCTCTTCCACACCTCTCTGGAGCGATGTACGCTGGCTGAGGGACGGTGTTAAACTGGTTGATGACATCAGGGGATGCTTCAACTCCATAAGGGTCTACCAGCATGTTCCCGTCCTCTGAGCCCGCTCGGCAAGGCAGCAGGGGGAAGGGGCTGCTGTTGGGTGCCTTCCTGCCCCAAATGAAGGGTCTCCATCAGAAGAGCCAGCTCCAGTTTGTGCGAGTACCGGATCGTGTGGGAGATGCTACACAAAGCGACAGTGCCAGAGGCTGTCAAGGACTCAAGCCGACGTCGCTGCCTGACTGTGAGCGGTGTCGGTTCCTCCGCTGCATGCATGCAGAGCCGCGATGCTGCCTCAGTTACCCCGCTCAAAACCGAACTCACGATACGGGAGAAGGGCCAGCGATGGTTTGTGGCACCATCAGTACTGCAGGAGATGTCACACACCACATCACCAGTGTGCCCGGGGGGGACTCCTGTGTGTACAAGCCACAGCTGAATTTTCTACTCAGTATTACACTCCCCTTTTCCTGCGTGCACAGGAATTGCTTCCCACTGGCAGCCCCACACCGTGGACTTTACGTCATCTTTCTCCACGCAACAGGAAAATGCCATCGGGACCGAAGCTCACGCACAAAGAAGGATGTCTGACCACCCGGCCACCTTCTACGTGTGACATCCTGCTAGGTCAGGCTTCCATCAAACACTCCCTGTCACCGCTAGCAATTCCGTAATCGCCGCAGCCTCCCTTCAGACCAGTATTAGCACCAAACAGCTCGAGTTGTATCGCATCTACACGCCCGCGGCAGGTCTCTGGCGTCCTGGACCCAACCCTGAGGCCTTGTAAGCCAGCTCTCTCCGGAGCTGAACGCTTCTTGCTGCTAACTGCTGAGCTGCCGTCTAAAAGCCTCCGATTTACACCATTTAACAACCGTGGATGATGTTAGCCCGAGGCGTGTGAGCGATGCTCCTGGACGCGCCAGAGGACAGCGCAGCTTTGGATCTGGAGATGCTGTGGAGAGATGTACAAAAGATGTTGCTCCCTCGCTCGTTCTGCCAGGATTTTTGGCTAGAGAAATGCCCGCGTGGGTGGAGGGTCGGTTGGCATGGGAATTGAGCTGTCTTGACACGAAAAGCCTCTTCTCTCTCCTGTAGATCTTCCAAAGTTACTGGATTCTTTTAAAACCTCCATATTATTTTCTCCTTACTTGCTTTGATGTCTGCCATGACTTTGAAAAACCGTGCCTTTTGCAATAGGACAGTAGCAATTTCCTACCAAAAAAAGGCTCTGAAATCCCCTTCTCAGTTCAGCGCAACCCATCTTGGGCACCTTTCTCTTCTGTTCACTGGCTGATCTGAGAAAGGTGAGTTTAGTTTATTTCGAAATGCAGACAGCAGAGCCTTCCTATCCCTGGGTGCAGGCTGCTTTTGGTCTCGGGTGGGAGTTGCTGCTTGAGCAGCTCATGGGATGTGGGAGACAGAGATATTCATGTTCCGAGACAAAATACAGCTGGGCAAAGACAGTATTGGGGTTGTGCTTGAAGTCTGAGGTTGGAGAAGCAGGCTGTCAGGGTAAGCTATCAACTAAAAGCAGATTTGGCATCACCGTCGTCAACATTTGGTCATATCGAGCCTGTAGAACGTGGTACGAGGAGGAGGATTTGTCACCTGGGAAGATAGCAGCCTTTCGTTCCGACCTCTCCAGTAGGAAGTCACCTGGAGCTTCACACTTCTCTACCCGCATCTTCGTGTCTCTCCTCCGGTGTGTCCCAGGTGTGGGGACTTTGGTTCTGGTGTGAGATGTGAGGGTCTGGGGGAAGGTGTTTCTCCTTATAGAAAAAGTACCAGAAACCTCTCTCTGCCTATGTAATCAAAAGATCCCACGGCTGGAGAGCTGCGTTCCCTTTCTGGGTGCGTAGCTCTCGTGGAGCAGCTCTCCATTTTCTCTGAAAGCGGGCAGGGAGGAGTTGTGGATGCTGGAAAGCTGTCCAGCGTCAGCAGAGCGGCGTGGTGCGGGAAGGAGAAGAGGCAGCGACGGGCAGGGATGCTTTAAACCAGGCAGGCATTAGGCAGGGGTGTAGAGCCAAAATCTTACACAAGGCTCGTGCTGGCTCTTCACTCCCTGAAAACTGGGATTTCTCCCCCAGCAGCGATGGGCGTTGTAGGTGCTCCCCACACACAAGTGCCAACGTTTCTAAGGATCTCGCTGCCCCTCCTCTGCCGTCGTGTTTCACCGCCTCCCTAATCCCCCCTCTGCCTTAGTCAGCGCTGCCTTCGTTTTTTTCTCTCTCCAAAGCTTGAATGTTTTGCACTTTATCTATCCACGTGAATCTCAGAGCTACCGCGAGCCGTCTCGAGCGTACGGCTTTTTCAGCAATACACGCTTCCTCCCATGACCTGCCTCTGCCGCAGCGGAGCGACGCCGTCCCCGAACCCATGGCAGCCCGTGCCGTCTCAGATGAGGCTGGAGCAAGCTGGGCTTAAAACTCTCCAGCCTTGACTTTGCAATAGCATCTCCTTGGCATCGCATGTGAGACAGGAAAAAAAACCCAAGCAGTGACCACAGCCAAGGCTGCCCTGATGTTTTCTGTCTGTCCTTGAGTGCTGAGAAGTCCAGAGGTATCTGCAAATGACGATTTGTGCTTAGGAAAAGGCGTCTTAAAGATGCTTCTGGCCTTGTTCTCTGTTCCTCCGCCCCGCAGATGCGGGGTTTCTCCCCCACCACACCGTGTTTATTCTCAGCGTAAGAGCGAGCGAGCTTGGCTACACCACACAGCAGCACTGAAGCTGGAGTCTGTACCATTTTTTTGTTAAAACCTCAAAGTTACCGGAGGGAAATCATTTTGAGGACCTGGATGTTTTCTCGTAGAAGGTGGGGATGAGAAAAAGAAGCGTGGGGAAATGTTCTGAAGTTGCTTATGTTCCAAATCTCCCTATTTAGTGATTTAGGTTTTTTTTTTTCCAAAACCAGGGAGGCAAGCAGCACTTCTGGTCAGGGGAACGCTCCGAGGGCTGTCGCTCTTTGCTGAAAGATGAGAGGGTTTTGATGGGCCAGCAGCAGCTTTTTGCTGGTTCTGTTTTAAACACAGCCTTTAACCGATGACTCGGTGTTTTTTGCTGCCTCTTTCCATGCTCAAGCTGTTTCACAAAGTCTTCCGCAGGGTGCTGTTGCTCACAGCTGCTCTCTGCTCTTGTTGTCAGCCCACAACTGGGTTTCTCGCTTTTAAAGAACTTTAGCCGAGTGATTTATTTTCGCTTTGTCTGGCCCTTCTGGCTCAGAGTTCTGGGCCAGAAGAACCACCAAGATATTTCCTGAAACTGGAACAAACCTGAAGGGATGTGGACACCGAAGTGTCCCATAGACTCAGCCTTACGACTTGTCTGTGAAGAAAGGGCCGTTGTGTTTTGTGTTACAAACGTGGGGTGGAAAAACCATCCCAAAACGGGAGAGAAGCGTGGGGGTTTTTGGAGTTGTTGATTTCCCTGTACTTCGTGTACGCAGGAAGTGGGTTCTGTGTGTTTCATGTTTTAATAGTTGCGACTAATGTTTATAAAGAGCTTGTTATTTACGTTTTAAGCACTTTAAAAAAAATAATAAAAGTTGTTCAAGCTGTTCCTAGATACTTCTGATTTATTGACAACAGCGTCTGTGCTGATAGCACTTGGACAGTGAGTGACATTTCTCTGTTTATTTGCTGAAGTAGGATGACGATGCCCAACTTCTCCGGCAGCTTTTCAAGCACCGTTAATGGTCCCCAAGCTGTGGCTGTGCAGGGAGGTGGTGCTGCAGGATTACCTCGATTTCCTCTCCAAATATTGTCCCTGTCTGGGTTGATGGGTGCACCTGAGGGGTTTAAGCTCCTCTTAACCTTCTTGCGTGTGCCTTAAAGCCGTGTAAGCGACTGCAGGAGCTCGGCTGGGGTGGCTGAGGATCGCGTCTGCCTGCAGCTCCCTTTCTGCTCATCGCCGACATTCCCCTGCGTATAAAGGTTGTTATTGCATTCCTGAGGATTTGTGCAAAAGAGGAGAGAGATCCCAACTGGACTGGGCTGGAGGAAGGAAGCAGAGCTCCTATTGCATTGTAAATTTACATCGTAGATGGCGGAGAGCTCAGCCTCAGGGTGCCTGGTGAGGAAATGCAGCTTTCTTGGTGCCTGCTTACAGGACAGGCAGCTCTTCCTCATGCTTTGTGGACATCAAGCATTTACGTCTCTCCCCCTCCGTGCTCTAGACTTTGCCTGGCATGGGGCTGATCCCCACCCGAGACCTTCGCCTCCAGCTCCTCTGCTCTAATCCCACCCACCTGTTTTCCCGCTCAGCTGTTTTCCTTCTTAAGGCTTCCTTCTTTCTTCATTCATGCCTTTTCCTTCAAAAAAAAAACAAAACCAAAACTCCCCTTAAGCTTGGGTAAATGACTTTGCTGCTCCAACAGAAGAGGTTCGTTAGCTCTAATCCCGGTTTATTTTTCATTCAGGCCGTTATCGAGCTCAGCACCTGTCTGGGGGGATCATGTTAGCCCTGAGAGCCTGGATGGGCTTGGGAGGGGGAGAAAATGTTTGGCACGCTGCTCCGCAGGATCAGGGCACTGAACTGTAACCCTCTGAGAAACTATCCTAAGAAAAGACAGCCTGAAAGGACGGGGCTGGAGTGGGGTTCTCCTGGCTGCAGAGGCGCAGGGGGTACAGTCGGTGGGAGGGTGGGGAAACTGGAATCCATCAAGTCAGAAAAAAAAAGAAATTAAGATTTTTAGTCCTGCTAAAACTGCCGTACATGATTCCATCGGGTGTTGCTGTCTGCTTGAAAGCGTAAGCACAGGCTCAAGCGTGATGCAACTCATTCCCGTCCCTGCGGGAAGAACTGGCTGGGTTTGTTGTTCGAAGCCTGAGTTTTTGCTTCCCACCGCAAGTTTTCTTAAAATCTGTCTTTACAGAT